AAGCAACAGGGCTCCATTAAGGAACATATAATCTCTTCCCACAACCAAACCATCGCCAGAGAAATCCTAGTAAACAACACAGAAATCATCGATAGATACAGCGATAGCAGACGGCTTGACGTTTGCGAGGCACTACACATCAAGAAGTCAACACCAGCAATCAACAGCCAATTATTGCACAACTATATTCTACCCACCTCAAGACTCCGCTCCAATATAGAAGCATCAAGAAATATGGACCAATAGGCTTTCTACAAACACTTCTATTCAATATCCATTGTTTCGTGGTCTGTCTTGTGTTGATGAAATTAATACCCTATTAATACTCTTGTTCTGTCTTGTGTTGATGAAATTAATACCCTATTAATACCACACTTTGTTCTGTCTTGTGTTAATGCCACATCACCCCTTCCACCTCACTCAAATGTAGATATAAAATCGGAGATACGTAAGTTCTATTCAGTTGTGTATTTGTGAACTAAAGTCTTTGAAAATGTAATAAGTTTTACGAAACGCGCCCGTGTCGCGTCAGACTAGAAATAAAAATGAATTTTGGAGAATTGATTTTTGATTTACCTCCAACAGTGAAGCGTAATGTACGAAAGATTGAGAAAATTCGCGTTAGAATTATTAATCTTACTTTTTCGGTCATATTTAATAATATATGTCTACAGGAAAGACTGCTACCAAAATATACTAATATATATATATATACTGTATACACAAATACATATACATATCAATATTCATTTTATATCAGCGATTACATTAGTCACTTTTTTTTTCAATGAGGAGCGCCAGATGTGCGTGTGCTTAATGCCAAGTTATCGCTGAAGCTAAATATAGGAGGTGGAGAGCAGTGAAGCCGTCACGCCCGTCCCTACACGCCACCTACGACCTCCTAGGCTCAATACCCCTACACTTATGACATTTCCGGCCAAAAACAAAGATAACTTGGGTTAGGGGCGAGCCTAGCACTAGGCTGGCCCCTCACAACACCCTTCTCTCCCCATCTGTCATTAAGGAAGACTGTACCTGTGATCTTGGCACTAATATGTATAACATATCAACCTCTGGCCAAATGTATAAACTAAGACAACCCTTAGAAACTTGGGGTTAACCCCACTGCAGATGGCCAAGACCACGACTCCCAGTAGACAGCACCACCATCAATAACTTTAACTACAATATAACTTGCCATTTTAACAATATTTTCCCCGCAGTCTTTCTTAACTCCAATAAGTATTAGATTTAAGGAGCATCCTTAACTCCAGTACTTATCATTTATTACACTATGAATTAAGCCAACATACATTGTTGGCTTAACAGCCACTGTTAGGGGTCTGGTGGCTAAGTGGACAGCACTTGAGATTAGTAGCCACGGACCGGGGATCGATCCCCAGCGATAGCCGAAACAAATGGGCAGAGTTTCTTTCACCCTGATGCCCCTGTTACCTAGCAGTATGTACCTGGGAATTAGACAGCTGCTACGGGCTGCTTCCTGGGAAGGGAGGGGGTACAAAAAAAAATATCAGTTGACTGACAGTTGAGAGGCGGGAGCCAAAGAGCCAGAGCTCAACCCCCGCAAGCACAACTAGGCGAATACATACATAGACCTATACAACTAGAATGTTTTAACTTAATATTCATTTGGTGGCAGCACTCGACACTTGCTGGCAGCACTCGACACTTGCTGGCAGCACTCGACACTTGCTGGCAGCACTCGACACTTGCTGGCAGCACTCGACACTTGCTGGCAGCACTCGACACTTGCTCGCAGCACTCGACACTTGCTCGCAGCACTCGACACTTGCTCGCAGCACTCGACACTTGCTCGCAGCACTCGACACTTGCTCGCAGCACTCGACACTTGCTCGCAGCACTCGACACTTGCTGGCAGCACTCGACACTTGCTGGCAGCACTCGACACTTGCTGGCAGCACTCGACACTTGCTGGCAGCACTCGACACTTGCTGGCAGCACTCGACACTTGCTCGCAGCACTCGACACTTGCTCGCAGCACTCGACACTTGCTCGCAGCACTCGACACTTGCTCGCAGCACTCGACACTTGCTCGCAGCACTCGACACTTGCTCGCAGCACTCGACACTTGCTCGCAGCACTCGACACTTGCTCGCAGCACTCGACACTTGCTCGTAGCACTCGACACTTGCTCGTAGCACTCGACACTTGCTCGTAGCACTCGACACTTGCTGGTAGCACTCGACACTTGCTGGTAGCACTCGACACTTGCTCGTAGCACTCGACACTTGCTCGTAGCACTCTACACTTGCTCGTAGCACTCTACACTTGCTCGTAGCACCCTACACTTGCTGGTAGCACTCGACACTTGCTGGTAGCACTCGACACTTGCTCGTAGCACTCGACACTTGCTGGTAGCACTCGACACTTGCTGGTAGCACTCGACACTTGCTCGTAGCACCCTACACTTGCTGGTAGCACTCTACACCACTACCAGTCCCGCTCCGTGTACCTAGTTGGAACACTACCAGTCCCGCTCCGTGTACCTAGTTGGAACACTACCAGTCCTGCTCCCTGTACCTAGTTGGAACACTACCAGTCCTGCTCCCTGTACCAAGTTGGAACACTACCAGTCCTGCTCCCTGTACCTAGTTGGAACACTACCAGTCCTGCTCCCTGTACCTAGTTGGAACACTACCAGTCCTGCTCCCTGTACCTAGTTGGAACACTACCAGTCCTGCTCCCTGTACCTAGTTGGAACACTACCAGTCCTGCTCCCTGTACCTAGTTGGAACACTACCAGTCCTGCTCCCTGTACCTAGTTGGAACACTACCAGTCCTGCTCCCTGTACCTAGTTGGAACACTACCAGTCCTGCTCCCTGTACCTAGTTGGAACACTACCAGTCCTGCTCCCTGTACCTAGTTGGAACACTACCAGTCCTGCTCCCTGTACCTAGTTGGAACACTACCAGTCCTGCTCCCTGTACCTAGTTGGAACACTACCAGTCCCGCTCCCTGTATCTAGTTGGAACACTACCAGTTCTGTATGTATCTAATGTATACATATCAAGAAGTGGCACTACACATCAAGAAGTCAACACCAGCAATCAACAGCCAATTAATGCACAACTATATTCTACCCACCTCAAGACTCCGCTCCAATATAGAAGCATCAAGAAATATGGACCAATAGGCTTTCTACAATAACTTCTATTCAATACCCATTGTTTCGTGTTCTGTCTTGTGTTGATGAAATTAATACCTTATTAAATACCACCTCACCCCATCCACCTCACTCAAATGTAGATATAAACAAATCGGAGATGTGTAAGTTCTATTCAGTTGTGTATGTTTAAACTGAAGTCTTTGAAAATGTAATAAGTTTTACGAAACGCGCTCAAGTGTCGCGTCAGACTAGAAATAAAAATGAATTTTGGAGAATTGATTTTTGAATTACCATCAACAGTGAAAAGAAATGTACGAAAGATTGAGAAAATTCGTGTTAGAATTATTAATCTTACTTTTTCGGTCATATTTAATAATATGTGTCTACAGGAAAGACTGCTACCAAAATATATTAATATATATATATATATATATATATGTCGTACCTAGTAGCCAGAACTCACTTTTTGGCCTACTATTCAAGGCCCGATTTGCCTAATAAGCCAAGTTTTCATGAATTAATTGTTTTTTCGACTACCTAACCTACCTAACCTAACCTAACCTAACTTTTTCGGCTACCTAACCAAACCTAACCTATAAAGATAGGTTAGGTTAGGTTAGGTAGGGTTGGTTAGGTTCGGTCATATATCTACGTTAATTTTAACTCCAATAAAAAAAAATTGACCTCATACATAATGAAATGGGTAGCTTTATGATTTCATAAGAAAAAATTAGAAAAAATATATTAATTCAGGAAAACTTGGCTTATTAGGCAAATCGGGCCTTGAATAGTAGGCCAAAAAGTGAGTTCTGGCTACTAGGTACGACATATATATATATATATATATATATATATATATATATATATATATATATATATATATATATATATATATATATATATATATATATATATATGTTGGAAGACGTACCTAGTAGCCAGAACGCACTTCTCAGCCTACTATGCTAGGCCCTATTTGCCTAATAAGCCAAGTTTTCCTGAATTAAAATATTTTCTCTAATTTTTTTCTTATGCAATGATAAAGCTACCCATTTCATTATGTGTGAGGTCAACTTTTTGTTATTGGAGTTAAAATTAATGTAGATATATGACCGAACCTAACCAACCCTACCTAACATAACCTAACCTATCTTTCTAGGTTAGGTTAGGTAGCCGAAAAAGTTAGGTTAGGTTAGGTAGGTTAGGTAGTCGAACAACAATTAATTAATGAAAACTAGGCTTATTAGGCAAATCGGGCCTTGCATAGTAGGCTGAGAAGTGCGTTTTGGCTACTAGGTACGACATATATATATATATATATATATATATATATATATATATATATATATATATATATATATATATATATATCACACACACACGAGTTCTTACATCGTTGTACGGCCACTAGTACACGTAGTGTTTCAGGCAGGTCCTTAATCCTATGGTCCGTGGAATACGACCCCGCGAAAAATCGTTTAACAACCAGGTACTCATTTTACTGTTAAGTTAAGCAGAGGCTACAGTTAAGGATTTGTGCCCAGTAAATCCCCCCCCCCTCCCGGCCAGGATACGAACGCGAGACGAGCGTCTTACCACTACGCCACGGGAACACGGGATGGAATCCACTTTTAACTTGAACCACCTTTCTTACCAACCAGGTTAGGTACACACTATCTAAGGTAACGATATCGAAGCGTAACTCTGGCAATTACTTGAGCATTCATTATATACACAGTTGTAAACACATTGTTGACGAGACGGTGACGTTCTGTGGCAACCACACCACTTCCTTCGAGATGAAGGTACACATTAACTTACATATGTAATAACAAATAAAAGAGTACTTACACTCATTAAAAAAGCGAATTAGTTCTTCGTGTTGAGGGGAGATGACGTCATGGGGCTGCGGGCGGCCATTGGTGGAGCGTCCGCCCTTGTTGCTCCCGCCCACAGACTGGAACACGGGCCGCGGCGAGCTGCGCCAACACAAACACTCACCATTAGCCAAAATTGTAATTAAATTTTGTCAATAAAGATGTTAATAATAATAATACTCACAAACTTGTCACCACAGCTCATAAGACTGATACAATACAGCCCGTCCTCCTGTTTTGGTAGTAGTACTTACAGTACCGATGAGGACCATAGTATATACACCGACGTACTTACAGTACCGACGAGGACCATAGTATATATACCGACGTACTTACAGTACCGACGAGGACCATAGTATATACACCGACGTACTTACAGTACCGATGAGGACCATAGTATATACACCGACGTACTTACAGTACCGACGAGGACCATAGTATATATACCGACGTACTTACAGTACCGACGAGGACCATAGTATATACACCGACGTACTTACAGTACCGATGAGGACCATAGTATATACACCGACGTACTTACAGTACCGACGAGGACCATAGTATATACACCGACGTACTTACAGTACCGATGAGGACCATAGTATATACACCGACGTACTTACAGTACCGATGAGGACCATAGTATATACACCGACGTACTTACAGTACCGATGAGGACCATAGTATATATATACCGACGTACAACAATATTAGACAGTAGAACTCTGAAATATTGAGTTGGACAAACCGAAAATCTATTTTTGACTTGTGTTGCTTTGAGAAACTAAATTAACCTCCCTAGGCCTAATACAGTATATCTCAGGCCAAATATAGTACGTGTGTGTGCTATTCTAGGCCTAGGAATATTTATACTTCATTTTAACAATCCTTTACTAGTCAGTATATTAGTATCTAAAAGCTAAGTAGGCACGATTTGTGACTATTAACGATGGTGACAATAAGTGCTATCTAGACAGGTTACATAATAGTACAATGATGGCAGACACTGGAGGTTGGTATCTAGACAGGTTACATAATAGTACAATGATGGCAGACACTGGAGGTTGGTATCTAGACAGGTTACATAATAGTACAATGATGGAAGACACTGGAGGTTGGTATCTAGACAGGTTACATAATAGTACAATGATGGCAGACACTGGAGGTTGGTATCTAGACAGGTTACATAATAGTACAATGATGGCAGACACTGGAGGTTGGTATCTAGACAGGTTACATAATAGTACAATGATGGAAGACACTGGAGGTTGGTATCTAGACAGGTTACATAATAGTACAATGATGGAAGACACTGCAGGTTGGTATCTAGACAGGTTACATAATAGTACAATGATGGCAGACACTGGAGGTTGGTATCTAGACAGGTTACATAATAGTACAATGATGGAAGACACTGGAGGTTGGTATCTAGACAGGTTACATAATAGTACAATGATGGCAGACACTGCAGGTTGGTATCTAGACAGGTTACATAATAGTACAATGATGGAAGACACTGGAGGTTGGTATCTAGACAGGTTACATAATAGTACAATGATGGAAGACACTGCAGGTTGGGACAATATGTACTTCTAACACGTCCCACCAGTAGTATTAAGTAATGATGACAGTGCTAATACAACATATTACGCATATAATGATCAACTTCTCCATATCAGCAAGGACCATTAATTATCACCTGAGATAAGCCTTAAGAGCAGTGGAGAGTAATCAGTGTGGGCAAAGGCTTGCTGACTGATATGATAAATATCTGCAGGTATGGTAAATATCATACCCAGGTATCACAGCCCCGGGTATCACAGCCCCGGGTATCACAGCCCCGGGTATCACAGCCCCGGGTATCACAGCCCCGGGTATCACAGCCCCGGGTATCACAGCCCCGGGTATCACAGACCCGGGTATCACAGCCCCGGGTATCACAGCCCCGGGTATCACAGCCCCGGGTATCACAGCCCCGGGTATCACAGCCCCGGGTATCACAGCCCCGGGTATCACAGCCCCAGGTATCACAGCCCCAGGTATCACAGCCCCGGGTATCACAGACCCAGGTATCACAGCCCCGGGTATCACAGCCCCGGGTATCACAGCCCCGGGTATCACAGCCCCAGGTATCACAGCCCCAGGTATCACAGCCCCGGGTATCACAGACCCAGGTATCACAGCCCCGGGTATCACAGCCCCGGGTATCACAGCCCCAGGTATCACAGCCCCAGGTATCACAGCCCCAGGTATCACAGCCCCAGGTATCACAGCCCCAGGTATCACAGCCCCGGGTATCACAGCCCCAGGTATCACAGCCCCAGGTATCACAGCCCCAGGTATCACAGACCCAGGTATCACAGACCCAGGTATCACAGCCCCAGGTATCACAGCCCCAGGTATCACAGCCCCAGGTATCACAGCCCCAGGTATCACAGCCCCGGGTATCACAGCCCCAGGTATCACAGCCCCGGGTATCACAGCCCCGGGTATCACAGCCCCAGGTATCACAGCCCCAGGTATCACAGCCCCGGGTATCACAGCCCCGGGTATCACAGCCCCGGGTATCACAGCCCCAGGTATCACAGCCCCGGGTATCACAGCCCCAGGTATCACAGACCCAGGTATCACAGACCCAGGTATCACAGACCCAGGTATCAAAGCCCCAGGTATCACAGCCCCGGGTATCACAGCCCCGGGTATCACAGCCCCGGGTATCACAGCCCCGGGTATCACAGCCCCGGGTATCACAGCCCCGGATATCACAGCCCCGGGTATCACAGCCCCGGGTATCACAGCCCCAGGTATCAAATAATATCCGAGCCACCTGGGGCTGGTGGCTGGGTAGACATCGGGGCCGGAATATCAGCCCATCCTCCGGTCTTGGAGGATGTTTACACTTCACTATTACTTGTGTTGCTTTGACAAACTAACCTAAGTTCCGTAGGCCGCAGACTTAGGACCCAGAGCTTCCCTCAGACACAATATCTGAGGCCTAATATAGTAGTGTGCTATACTCGGCCTAGGAATATTTAAGTTTGTGTTTTAGCATCATTTATTTTAAAAGAATTCCTTACTACTATCTAAATATACTACTATATCAGTATACTACTATCTAAAAGCTAAGAACGTACTAATTCTGACTATTACCGACGGTGACAATAGGTACTACCCCAGCACCGCTCCTGTGCCAGGTAAGTCCACCACGGGCTCACCATAGCCCGTGCTACTGGCCCCGCTTCTGTGCTAGGTAAGTTACGGGCTCACCATAACCCGTGCTACTTGGAACTTGTTCCGAGTAGCTGAATCTATAACAACAACAACAATAGGTACTACTACCTGAACAAGAGGATGGGCTGCGGGATACACAGACATGCTCGGGTGGCGACGCCCCCCACCAACGTCTCCCCTACACTCCAATTTCAATTTCTTTCTTTATTATGCACCCCATACCCAACCCGTGGGTGGTGGTGTAAAGGTTAACAGAGGCACATAATCTGTTCAGGAATTGAACCCTCTAGTTCGTTTAGCTAAGCAAATAACAATCTTTTGACGCTAGTTACAAAGGTATTATTGTTATATATATATACATGTACACATACTTATACCTACATGTACATTATATATATATATATATATATATATATATATATATATATATATATATATATACTGGCAGCAGGTTTTCTTTTAAACATGTCTCATTGAATATGACCGCATATTCTGTATTTACTATCTAGTACATAGGTACTAGACTATCTAAGTGGTATTTACTATCTAAGTACATAGGTATGACGTCGACCAAGCTGACGAGGCGTTTGACCTGTCATCTTCAATCCGGTGCCCCCAGGAATCACATGAGACAAGCCCATGACATCACCCTAACAAGAGAAATGTTGAACAAAAATATCTGTATAATAGACAAAACCCAGGATGTAAGAAGATCACAAATTCTTGAAGCAATTCACATACGAATAGAACAACCTACCATGAACACTCAAATCACGGAACTATTTACTCTTCCCACCATGAGAGTAAGGACAAGACCAGAACATAACGATGCCAACACAGAAGTAAGTAAGTAATTATCAAAAGAAGGCACCAAACCGGGAAGGCTATGTAGCACCATCAAATGCGCAAAATAATCAGAGGGCGCTAAATATCACCAAGGATGCCAATACGAGAACAAAAACGCATAAGGCGAACGATATCAAAAGTATCCGAGTCACCAAGAATTCTATTGAGGGACAGGTGACCGCGAGGGGCGGTCGGAAAGCAAGACACACGCTCGTCCTAGAAGTCAGAACATTCAAGAAGGACATGCACGACCGTAAGAGGGACAATGCAACTAGGACAATAAGGAGCAGGGCGGCGCTCCATCAACTGACCATGGGTTAAGAAAGTATGGCCAATACACAACCTCGCCAGAGCTGTTTCCCACCGCCGGTTACGGTGGAAGGAGGACGGTTATCTTGAGGTTATCTTGAGATGATTTCGGGGCTTTAGTGTCCCCGCGGCCCGGTCCTCGACCAGGCCTCCACCCCCAGGAAGCAGCCCGTGACAGCTGACTAACTCCCAGGTACCTATTTACTGCTAGGTAACAGGGGCATTCAGGGTGAAAGAAACTTTGCCCATTTGTTTCTGCCTCGTGCGGGAATCGAACCCGCGCCACAGAATTACGAGTCCTGCGCGCTATCCACCAGGCTACGAGGCCACAAAGGAAACACAACATTTAAGAGTACGTAGTTTGTTACCAGTAACAGACGACCAAGAAGCCTGCCAACGGGTAAGGACGGGGGAATGGATAACCGGGTAAGTCGGAATATGGCATACCTTTACGAGAGATGGGACAAGAGCGAACAGCTTCCTTGGCGGCAGGATCCGCACGCTCATTTAAAGACACACCAATATGGCTGGGAACCCAACAAAACTCAACCGACTTAAATTGACTGTGAACAAGAAACAGCCAATGCTGGATCTCGACAACTACTGGATGAACCGGATTAAAGGACCCGAGAGCCATGAGAGCACTACGAGAGTCAACAACAACTACAAAGGAAGACTGACAACGAGAAAGCAGGAGACGAAGAGCATAGAGAATA